TAACCTCCATCAGCTTCCCTCCGCTACTGCTGCAATTAGTTGTTTGGTAAGGTATATTTTTGTAAATTATTGTTTTAATCCCAGAAAATACTATAAATAAAATACAGTAATATGCCATATCTCAGGTCGAATTTATTTTTATCAAGCATGCATGTTCGTTTATATAATGTTATAATAACCCCACAGGAATGCATCTTCAGTGCTAAGTGGGGTCTCAGTGTATACTGGTGATAGTTTTGTGATGCAAAAGAAGGCTCAACAAAAAAGACATTGGAGTGAGATGAAAGTTCTAACCTATAGTAGTTGTGGGAAAGTGAAAAAATCTGAAAACAAAAGGTGAGAGAGAGAGAAAAAAAAAAAGGAAAATTTGTTAATATGCAGTCTGGAAACTCCAAATGCTGTCATCATGGAGTCAACAACCTTCAACTTCATAACTTGGTAAGTAATGAACCAATTTTTATTGTTTCATTACAACCAATTTTTTTTTTAAACTGACATGGAAGGGGCTTTTAATTGTGGGTGGAGGAGGGGAATGACAGTGAAGGGTTAACTTGTTCTTCCTCAAAATTTCAAATGACTTGTGTATATTTCCTCCACTACACTTATCATATTCATTCAGCACTGAGTTAATAACTTTTGCATTCCATAACCTATTCAGTTACTATATTTTCATTATATTCTTTGCTAGGTATCTGAAATTATGTAAGAATTTTCAAGCTAATTTTTTTTACAGTAAAATGGTTATGATCTCAAAAGAACATTAATTTAAACCTTCAAAAACAATTTATATGCAGTTTGAAAACAAGGGTTTTGATAAACCTTGACATATTTCTTTTAGTGCACTCAGTATATTTTTAACAAGACAATATATAAATGGTTAAATATATATTTAGTGCTGCAATTATTTCATATTTGCATACACAATGTGCAAATTTGAAGAGTTAATGAAAACATAGATGAAGAGTTAATGAAAACATGATACATGATAGTAACACTGCATACATAGACAAGTTAAAAGGAGTTTTTTTTATACTGCATTATATCACAGTAAACAGAAAAAAAAAATCAAACTTCAGCTCCTATGTTGGATATGAAGTCAGAAGCATTGGAAAAACAGGGAATTCTACTGCATATTATTGGCCATAAGTCAACCTGGGTCATGAGACTGAGGCAGGGTATTTTTTTTCACTAGTAAAATTATTACATAACCCCAGATACAAGTCAGAGCTGTATTTTCAGTCATCAAAGATGGGAGTTAATCAGTATCTTTATCTGCATCAGCAGTCAACACTGGTGATAATGTTTACATGCAGTATATACATTGTTTTTTTTATCACCCTGCCACAGGAGTCACAAGTACTGATTGTCTATGTGAGACACCACCAATGGAGATGTCATATTACCATACTGGTAAATTATATTAACTTCAAAATTTACTGCTTTAATTCAGTCCTTCAATACTGTACCTACTGTATCAATGGCGACACATGGTGATATACTTTATACCTTCGATGAGTTTCGAGTCTCTCTCTACTCTTGGTGCCTCCCTTCCCTTGTAAATAATGGGAGGAAAATATATTTGATGTATTTTTTTTAGCAATAAAACAGACTACATTTTTTTTAGTTTATTAATAATTCCTCACTGTAAATGCGCATTATGGCTTTGGTAATAACAACGTTAATAATCAGATTAAGCACTAAACCCAAAAGGGTCTATAGTGTTAACATTATTCATCAACATATTTGTTGACCTCTGGACCTCTCTACCCCCCCCCCCCCTTACACACACCAGGCCCATCTCAACCTTTTAACTCAATAGACAAAATGCAGTGATATTTCTTGAGTGCTTTATGTATTCCCATAATTTTTCATTTATTTCATGCATTTCACACTCATAATACAGAAGGTATTACACTCGGCATAACAATATTTGCTTAGTAGTCTCAATTTATGGTTACTAATATACAATAATAACTGGTAGCTAGTGTGAAATAATCTGTAATAATGAAGCTTATAAAGGAAATTGAAATAAACTTGTCAATAAAATACTAGACTCTTATGATCCAAAAACTAATTCTACTCTATCCACAAGTATTGTTAACCCTTAAACTGTCCAAATGTAGATCTACATTTTCACTGCAGCACTCTGAATATCTACAAAAAAAAAAAAAAAAAAAAAAAAAAAAAAAAAAAAAAAAAAAAAAAAAAAAATTAAAGAGGGCAATTTTCTGTGAGTAATAAGACAAAAAACTACTTTTTTTAGGACCAGTACTTACTGAGATATAAGGCCGTGGAGTTGGTGCTGGATGCTCACCTGACAGCAACACAAAGTCCTGCTGCTATACCTTTTTTTGTGTTTTTAATTTAAATTATATAATTTTTGTTCTGATAATTACAATTTATGTATAGTATGTAGTTCTTGCGATTTCATAGCCAATCTTTGTTCTGATGCTAATATTAGGTACTGAAATAGTACTCAAAGTCATAATCACACTGACAGGTGAACATTTTCACCTGCCTTGATCATTTACTATTGTCTAGCAATATACAGTGGACCCCCGGTTAACGATATTTTTTCACTCAAGAAGTATGTTCAGGTGCCAGTACTGACCGAATTTGTTCCCATAAGGAATATTGTGAAGTACATTAGTCCATTTCAGACCCGCAAACATACACGTACAAACGCACTTACATAAATACACTTACATAATTGGTCGCATTCGGAGGTGATCGTTATGCGGGGGTCCACTGTATATGAAGTATTTATAGGTTCCAGCAAAGTTTTTGACATGCTGGAGTACATATGAAACTCCTTGAAGCACGGTGTAAGACGATTGTCACTCCACTGCTGACAGTGCAGCAGTGGAGTGACACGTGATGATTGTGCACTGCTCCAGGGAACCCTGGCTTCATCTGTTTTCATTGTTACACATAAACATGTCTGTCTGTCTGTGTGTTTGTCTAGCTCTGTCTGCTTATCTGTCTTTCTGTCTGCCTGTGTGTGTGTCAGTCTTTCTGCCTGCCTGTGTGTGTGTCAGTCTTTCTGTCTGCCTGTGTGTGTGTGTCAGTCTTTCTGTCTGCCTGTGTGTGTGTGTCAGTCTTTCCGTCTGCCTGTGTGTGTGTCAGTCTTTCTGTCTGCCTGTGTGTGTGTAAGTCTTTCTGTCTGCCTGTGTGTGTGTAAGTCTTTCTGTCTGCCTGTGTGTGTCAGTTTTTCTGTCTGTGTGTCAGTCTTTCTGTTTGACTGTGTGTGTCAGTCTTTCTGTCTGATCGTGTGTGTCAGTCTTTCTGTCTGATCGTGTGTGTCAGTCTTTCTATCTGACTGTATCAGTCTTTCTGTCTGACGGTGTGTGTCAGTCTTTCTGTCTGCCTCTGTGTGTGTGTGTGTGTGTGTGTGTGTGTGTGTGTGTGTGTGTGTGTGTGTGTGTGTGTACTTGTGTGTGTACTCACCTAATTGCAGTTGCAGGGGTCTAGACTCAGCTCCTAGCCCCACCTCTTCACTGAACGCTACTAGGTCCTCTCTCCCTGGTCCACAAGCTTTATCATACCTCGTCTTAAAGCTATGTATGGTTCCTGCCTCCACTGCATCGCTCCCCAGACTGTTCCACTTCCTGACCACTGTACGGCTGAAGAAATGCTTCCTAACATCCCTGTGGCTCATCTGAGTCTTCAACTTCCACAAGTGGAATATTGCTGCACACTAACAGCACCTTTCAAGGCAGGTGAAATTGCCGACCTAGAAAATGTACAGAGAACTTTCACGGCGCGCATAACGGAGATAAAACACCTCAATTATTGGGAGAGCTTGAGGTTCCTAAACCTGTATTCCCTGGAACGCAGGAGGGAGAGATACATGATTATATACACCTGGAAAATCCTAGAGGGACTAGTACCGAACTTGCACACGAAAATCACTCACTACGAAAGCAAAAGACTTGGCAGACGATGCACCATCCCCCCAATGAAAAGCAGGGGTGTCACTAGCACGTTAAGAGACCATACAATAAGTGTCAGGGGCCCGAGACTGTTCAACTGCCTCCCAGCACACATAAGGGGGATTACCAACAGACCCCTGGCAGTCTTCAAGCTGGCACTGGACAAGCACCTAAAGTCAGTTCCGGATCAGCCGGGCTGTGGCTCGTACGTTGGTTTGCGTGCAGCCAGCAGCAACAGCCTGGTTGATCAGGCTCTGATCCACCAGGAGGCCTGGTCACAGACCGGGCCACGGGGGCGTTGACCCCCGGAACTCTCTCCAGGTAAACTCCAGGTAAGTGACCCCTTGTGTCTGTGTCCCCTCTCAGGAACATCTTGTCTCTGTCCACCTTGTCTATTCTATGCAGTATTTTGTATGTCGTTATCATGTCTCCCCTATCCCTCCTGTCCTCCAGTGTAGTCAGGTCGATTTCCTTCAACTTTTCTTAACAGGACATTCCCCTTAGCTCTGGAACTAACCTTGTCGCAAACCTTTGCACTTTCTCTAATTTCTTAACGTGCTTGACCCAGTGCGGGTTCCAAACTGGTGCTGCATACTCCAGTATGGGCCTGACGTACATGGTATACGGTGTCTTGAAAGATTTCTTACTTAGGTATCGGAATGCTAATCTCAGGTTTGCCAGGCGCCCATATGCTGCAGCAGTTATCTGGTTGATGTGTGCTTCCAGAGACATGATCCGTGTTATACTCACGCCAAGATCTTTCTCCTTGAGCGAGGTTTGCAGTCGTTGGCCACCTAGCTTATACTGTGTGTGTGTGTGTGTGTGTGTGTGTGTGTGTGTGTGTGTGTGTGTGTTGTGTGTGTGTGTGTGTGTGTCTGTGTGTGTGTCGTGTGTGTGTGTGTGTGGTGTGTGTGTGTGTGTGTGTGTGTGTGTGTGTGTGTGTGTGTGTGTGTGTGTGTGTCTGTGTGTGTGTCTGTGTGTGTGTCTGTGTGTGTGTCTGTGTGTGTGTCTGTGTGTGTGTTGTGTGTGTGTTGTGTGTGTTGTGTGTGTGTGTGCTGTGTGTGTGTGTCTGTGTGTGTGTGTCTGTGTGTGTGTGTCTGTGTGTGTGTGTGTGTGTGTGTGTGTGTGTGTGTGTGTGTGTCTGTGTGTGTGTGTGTGTCTGTGTGTGTGTGTGTGTCTGTGTGTGTGTGTGTGTCTGTCTGTGTGTGTGTGTGTGTCTGTGTGCTTGTCTTTCTGTCTGCCTGTGTGTCTGTCTTTCTGTCTGCTTCTCTCTGTCTCAGAGAGTGGCTCATGAACTAACAGGCATTACACATAATGCAGAGTCGTCATGCCTGATTCCTAATAAGAGAAAATGTGTATTACTTGCCAGTCATGCTTATTATGCCTTATATATACAAGCACAGTACAGCACTTTGTCTGGATGTTTTGGGATATCCTAGGTAATTTACACTATGTATGATAACTATATTTATGTGTACCTGTGAGTGAGAGACAAACAGAGAGAGAGAGAGACAGCCAGTCAGTCAGCCAGACAGCTGGCCAGCCAGCCACCCAGTCGGTTGGCCAGCCAGCCAGCCACCCAGTCGGTTGGCCAGCCAGCCAGCCGAATACGTATTACACATATTGCAGAATCATTTTCCTTTACTTACGGCATAGGTTATAGGACATTCTGGCTGGATGACACTACTAGTGGTATCAAAAATGAAAGGATGTTGCACAAATGTTGTGTATGGGTTATTATCGAGGTTTTTGATATTTCCTCAACTACTTGTGGCCACATCCATCTCAAACCCACTAAACTCTGGGTCAACATCACTTTCCTCTTAAAGGGGGGAGTTAATACGACATGACATCAGTAAATCCCTGGTGTTTGCCACGCTATTTGCTCTAGCTGGTGCTCAATTGAACTGGTGCTCCCATAAGGTACTAAGTGGTCCCAAATTTTAATACTGTGCACACAGAGTGTTAAGACCCATTCTACACTGACCAGGCATCTCAGACCAATCATGACAAATCTGGAGGCAGGAAAAATAAAATGACCAACGTCTGGAGTGCTAGCGGTAGTAACGTAGATCTATGTTTGGACAGTTTAAGAGTTAAATCTTATTCTAGATTATTATTATTATATATCATTTACAAATACTATACAATATATCCACTCAACAATGAGGTGCACATTATTACAGTGTGCTATCTTCTGAAAATTGGAAGGTTTCTTGTAGTTAGAGAGAGGCAAAAATAAGAGTTGATGTAGAAGTAATATCATTAATGCTATGAAGCTAGTCTTACTTCAGGCATTATGGTCAAAGCATGCAGGTAATTTAAGACTCAATCATTTGTCTCAACTTGCCAGTGATGACATGTTCACATTTCTGCTCCTTTATAACTTTGTTTGCTTACTCTTTCATTAGCTGATAAGGACCTCAGTTGGAGGTCAAAATACATCAGATTTTATTCACTGTTTGCTCCCATGCTGGTTCTTCTCATAATACAGTGTACTTAACATACATACAAAGTCAATACTTTGACATAACACATGATGATTGTTTTTTGTCATTTTTTAATGACAGTCCTACATACTAGAAGTAATAAACACAATATTGTCAAATATTTATTATTTTCGCCTACCTGATCTTGTTGGGCAAAAAGAATTTTCATTTAAAGGTTTGGATTTAACAATTCGGACAGTTTTCTTGGGCATTTTCTTTTCATCAGAGTCACTGCTGCTGGATCCTTTGTAGCTTTCATCTGTATCTTCATCACTAATTACTTTCTGTTGAAGTTTACGAGCAGTAGTACCTGCTGATCTTCGTGATCTCCTCACACTGTTTTCTATTTCAAGATAAAAAGATACAAAATTAAGCTTTCAGAGAAAAATAAACTAAGCACATACAGTACATGTAAAAATAGTATTACACAAAGTAATATAGCACAACCACAAAATGGAAAGGCATACTTGATTCAAATCTAATTCATTTTTTTAATAATTTCATTGCACTCATCATATTTTTTCAAATCTATGCTGTGTGCCATAGACCTTGGAAGTCTCAGTTAATCCATAATCATGAAAAGACATTAAGAGCTTCTGAGTGTAAGAGAGTGAAAGAGTGAGTGAATATGAGTGTAAGAAAAGTGTGAATGTGTGTGCATGGGCGTGTATGAGTGCAAGTGTGCGCGCGCATGTATTTCTCACCTTTGTTGTCCCTGTGAGCAGGGTGTAACTTATTACGGATAAAGTCTTCCTCCTCCTCTTCTTCGCTTGAACTTTCTTTTTTCTTCCTTCTTCCTCTACCTCTTGTTTGTTGTGCTGGTAAGAAAGATCTTTGTTAGGTTTTGCAAAAGAAATTTTTAGTCAAGGGTTACAATCATTTCCCAATTAACCCTGCACAATATACACAGGTTAAGAAAAGTATACTAACATGTTTTATACACAAACAAATGCATTATGCTGTTCTCTTCCCTCTTAAAAATTTTAACACTTCCTCAATTCAGTTTTGCTTAAGAGATTTACAAATAGGAAAAGGGAAAAATAAGATACTGTAGTAACATTTATATGTACAATAATAGATACCTAACAGTAATTTTTTTTTTTGAACACAGCCATTTTTGAGTCACCCTGACTCAAAAAGAGAGAAAAACCCAAAAAGAAAGAAAAAACTTTCATCATTCAACACTTTCCCCATCACTCATACATAATCACTGCCTTTGCAGAGGCGCTCAGATACAACAGTTTAGACGTTCCTCCAAACTGCCAATATCCTACACCCCTCCTTTACACTTCCTATTTCCAGGACTCAAGTCCAGCTAACCGGTTTCCCTGAATCCCTTCACAAAATATTATCCTGCTCACACTCCAACAGCTCGTCAGGTCCCAAAAACCATTCGTCTCCATTCACTCCTATCTAACACACTCGTGCACGCTTGCTGGAAGTCCAAGCCCCTCGCCCACAAAACTACCTTTACCCCTCCCTCCAACCTTTTCAGAGATGACCCTTACCCCGTCTTCCTTCCCCAATAGATTTATACACTCTCCAAGTCATTATACTTTGTTCCATTCTCTCTAAATGACCATCTCAACAGCCCCTCTTTCAGTAATTATTACTTTTTTAATCATTGTCAAACTTGGTCTATCATCTGAATGGCTACAACAACAACTAAGAGCCTTCATAATCCTGTAATTTTATTTTTGAGCTTGTGAGGGTGTCTACCTATCATAAGATTATTCTGAGAGATCAATACCTCCATGATCAGTCCTCGTGGTGGAATCAGAGTCCGATCAACCAGGCTGTTACTGCTGGCTACATGCATTCCAATGTACGAACCACAGCCCAGCTGGTCAGGAACTAACTTTAGAAACCTATCCAGTTCTTTCTCGAAGATTGGGAGGCTGTTGAACAGTCTTTGGCCTCTTTTACTTACAGTATTGCATTATTTCTCAGTGTATTCATGACACCCCTGCTTTTCATCGGGGGTAAATTGCATTGACTGCAGAGCCTTTTACTTTTGTAGTGATTTCTGTGTGCAGATCTGGGACTAGTCCCTCTGTCATTTATGTATAACAGGAAAAGTATGGAACTCCACTAGTTTCACTCCCATCAAGATGTTTCAGCCCTTAGCGACTCTGCTTCCTACTGTTCCAGTATTTCACTCATGTAAATACCTTTTCTGTTACCTCTCCCTCCCTTCCCCCTTGGTTCACTAATTTGCTAGTCAGCCTTTTATGTGGCACCATATCAAAAGCTGTCTTGTAGATTAAGAATATGCAGTCATTCCCTCTATTACCTGATCTCTGTTGGTCGATCACATGCCTGTAATATGTCAGTTAGTAAGCACAACCTTCCATTTCTTAATTCAACCTAAAGGACCCCAATGGAAATAAGTCACTGTCTGACTTATTTGGGTTATCCTAGGTTCTTTACACATATGCTGCTATGTATGATAATCTATGTAACTATTTATGTATACCTGAATAAACTTACTTATTTACTCTGAGGAATCCAGCACTCCCTAACACTCAAGAAGTCTCTTCCTTATGATTTTTCCAGTAATTTCATTTTTTACTTTCATCTAAGTAAAAGTTCAGATTTGGATGATTTTGTAGACATGGCCTAGCTGGTATGATCATGATCTTGAATAGGTGAGGCACATAGACTGGTCCCAATTACATCTCACACATTGTTACTGTCATGATATTGTATAATTTTCACTTCATGAACAGAAGTGATGCATATGATCAACACTGATGGCAAAGCCTGTGTGCTGTTGGTCTTCCTGTAAAATGCAAGTTGGGAAATAGGTGGGTCCTTCGAATTCTTGTGTATAAAGACCTAGCTTTGAAAGATTTTATTTATACAGTGGACCCCTAGTTATTGGCCGGTTCTGTCATCGACCAACTCAATGATCGGCTGGTTTTTCGGCGCCTGGTTATCGGCCGTTTGGGATGCGGTCCACCAGCTGGGGCCGCTTGCGTGTCAGTTTGGCTGTCTCTCTCAGTGGCTGAGGAAGCTTCTGCTCATACATCCAAACATTTCGCTTATTTCCCATTGTAGTTTGTGTTATTTTTGCAGTGCAATTGTGAAATAAGTAACCATGGCTCCAAAGAAAGTTCCTGTGGTAAAGAAAGTGAGTAACACCATGGAATTTAAGTGTGAAGTGATAGAAAAGTTTGAGAGTGGTATGAGGGTGGTGGAACTTGCCAGGATGTACAGCAAGAATAAATCAACAATTACATCCATCCTGGCAAAGAAAGAACAAATCAAGGATGCTAATGTGCCAAAGGAGTAACTTTTCTAACTAAACAAAGGCCACCAATACTGGAAGAAATGGAAAAGTTATTATTACAGTGGACCCCCGGTTAACGATATTTTTTCATTCCAGAAGTATGTTCAGGTGCCAGTACTGACCGAATTTGTTCCCATAAGGAATATTGTGAAGTAGATTAGTCCATTTCAGACCCCCAAACATACACGTACAAACGCACTTACATAAATACACTTACATAATTGGTCGCATTGGGAGGTGATCGTTAAGCGGGGGTCCACTGTATTGTGGATTAAGGAAAAAGAATTAGTGGGAGACAGTGTTGTGGAGTTGATTATCTGTGAGAAGGCAAGGCAGTTGCAGAAGGCTCTTGCAAAGAAAATGCCTGGAACAAGTGCTGCAGTTTGTGAATTTAGGGCCAGCAAGGGATGGTTTGATAGATTTAAGAAGAGTAGTGGCATACACAGTGTTGTAAGGCATAGTGAGGCTGCAAGTTCTGATAAATGTGCGGCTGAAAAATTCATGCAGGAATTCCAGGGGTACATAGAGGCTGAAGGATTCAAACCCCAACAAGTGTTCAACTGTGACGAAACAGGCCTGTTTTGGAAGAAAATACCAAACAGGACCTACATTACCCAGGAGGAAAAGGCATTGCCAGGACACAAGCCTATGAAAGACAGGCTTACTCTTTTGTTGTGTGGTAATGCTAGTGGGGATTTCAAAGAGAAGCCTTTACTTGTGTATCACTCAGAAAATCTAAGTGTGCTCAAGAAAATCAATGTCATGAAGAATAGATTGTGTCTGATATGGAAAGCTAATCATAAGGCAGGGGTCACAGGGCAAATTTTCAGAGTGGGTTAATGATGTGTTTGGCCCAAGTATGAAAAAATACCTCCTCGAAAAGAAATTGCCACTCAAGTGCCTCCTGGTACTGGACAATGCTCCTGCACATCCTCCAGACTTGGACGACCAAGTGCTTAGGGACTTCAATTTTATAAAAGTGAAGTTCTTGCCTCCTAATATCACTCCTCTCCTCCAGCCCATGGACCAGCAGGTCATTTCTAACTTCAAAAAACTCTACACAAAAGCAGTGTTTCAAAAGTGCTTTGAAGTGACCTCGGACACTCAATTGACCCTAAGAGTTCTGGAGGAATCACTTCAATATCTACAGCTGCATAAGCCTTACGTAAGGCATGGGAGGGAGTGACTTCCAGGACTTTGAACTCTGCTTGGGGAAAACTGTGGCCAGATTGTGTCCAGGAGAGGGATTTTGAAGGGTTTGAGGCTGACCCTGGCCCTGCCAACCCTGTGGACTCTACTGTGGCACTGGGGAAGCCGCTGGAGTTGGAGGTGAGTGGCGAGGATGTGGAAGAGTTGGTGGAGGACCACAGGGAAGAGCTAACCATTGAAGAGCTGCAAGAGCTTCAACTTGAACAGCAACAGACTGCAGATGAGAAACTTGCTTCAGAGGAGGAAGAAGAGTGAGTGAAGGAGGTGCTTTCTTCACTGATTAAGAACATTTGTGAAAACTGGAATGATGTGCAAGTTTTGTTGAGAATACCTCCCTGACAAAGCTGAAACAAGCCATATCTGTGACATGTTTAGTAACAAAACCCTGTCCCACTTCAGGAAAATCTTAAAGAGATGCCAGAAACAGAGCACTCTGGACAGTTATTTTGTGAGACAGGGGTCCAGTGACTCAAGCTGGTCCTAGTGGCATTAAAAGACAAAGAAGGGAAGTAACCCCAGCGAAGGCTTTGCTACCTAAAGTCTTCATGGAGGGGGATTCCCCTTCCAAACACTAACTCCTCCCTCTTTTCTCCTCTCTATCTTCCAGAAGCCAGCATTAGCCTTCAATAAAGATTTCTTTTTTTTCAACAAGTCGGCCGATTAATTGTACTTACATTAATTCTTATGGGAAATACTGTTTCGGCTTTCAAATGACCTTCGGGAACGGAATACAGCCAATAACCGAGGGTCCACTGTACTTTCACCAAAGTTGATACAGTACAGTCATAATCTCACATGTATGAGATCACCTGACTGGCCTCAAGTACTCCTTCCACAACAGCAATTTTTAATGCTTTCTGGCTTTCTGTGTAACTTTTTTAACCCTTTCGGTGTGGGTCCTGTTGTACTATGGCTTTGAAGCGCGGGTCAGTCTTGCAGTACTACGCCATGAGCTCAGCTCACTCAAATAAGCTGAGAGGTAAATTTGGGCCTAGATATGAGAGAATGGGTCTATGCACTAAGTATGCACCATATAAAAAATCCTGCAGTAAGCAGTCCATAATGGGGGGAAAAAAACAACTGTGACTGTGAGTTTGGTTTAAAACAGACATTGTGGTGTATTTTTATATGGTTTTTATAGTTGTACAGTGGTCCCTCGATAATCGTCGGGCTCGATAGTCGTCCTTTTCGGAAATCGTCGCATTATTTTAGTCCAAACATTGGCTCGGAAATGGTCGATTGACTCGCTAATTGTCGTTCGTCCTGGAAGCGTACTCACGACTCTGAACTGTCTCGGCCTCCCTTCCCAGCCAGTGTGCTATAGTTTACCAGTGAGTGACGGTCTCCTCACTTGTTCATATGAAATATTTCGTAATATTCCATTCATTTTAGTGCTTTCAAGTGCTAAATAAGCTACCATAGCTCCAAAGAAAGCTCCTAGTGCTAAGCCTTTGGTAAAGAAGGTGAGAAATACGAGTGAATTTAAGAAAAACATCATTGAACAACATGAAAGTGGCGCACGTGTGGCCGAACTGGCCAGGATGTATAACAAATCAGATACAACCATATCTTCCATCGTGGCCAAGAAAAAGGAAATCAAGGAAGCTGTTGTTGCAAAGGGGGTAAATATGCTGACAAAAATGAGATCACCAGCACTCGAAGAGGTTGAGAAGTTATTATTGGTGTGGATAAACAAGAAACAATCAGCAGGAGATAGTCTTATGATGTCGATTATTTGTGAAAAGGCTAGGCAGTTGCACGATTGAAAGAATTAGAGGTAAGACAGAATGTAGAATTGCGAATGAGCAACGAGGTTTTAGAGTGGGTAGGGGATGTGTAGATCACATGTTTACATTGAAGCATATATGTGAGCAGTATTTAGATAAAGGTAGGGAAGCTTTTATTGCATTTATGGATTTAGAAAAGGCATATGATAGAGTGGATAGGGCAGATGTTACAAGTAATGGACTAGGTGGTAAGTTACTAAATGCTGTAAAGAGTTTTTATGAGGATAGTGAGACTCAGGTTAGGGTGTGTAGAAGAGAGGGAGCCTATTTCCCAGTAAAAGTAGGTCTTAGACAGGGATGTGTAATGTCACCATGGTTGTTTAATATATTTATAGATGGGGTTGTAAGAGAAGTAAATGCTAGGGTGTTCAGGAGAGGGGTGGGATTAAATTATGGAGAATTAAATACAAAATGGGAAGTGACACAGTTACTTTTTGCTGATGATACTGTGCTTATGGGAGATTCTAAAGAAAAATTGCGAAGGTTAGTGGACGAATTTGAGAGTGTGTATAAAGGTAGAAAGTTGAAAGTGAACATAGAAAAGAGTAATGTGATGAGAGTATCAAATGATTTAGATAAAGAAAAATTGGATATCAAATTGGGGAGGAGGAGTATGGAAGAAGTTTTTTTTTTTTTTTTCAACAAGTCGGCCGTCTCCCACCGAGGCAGGGCGACCCAAAAAAGAAAGAAAATCCCCAAAAAGAAAATACTTTCATCACCATTCAACACTTTCACCACACTCACACATTATCACTGTTTTTGCAGAGGTGCTCAGAATACAACAGTTTAGAAGCATATACATATAAAGATACACAACATATCCCTCCAAACTGCCAATATCCCAAACCCCTCCTTTAAAGTACAGTCATTGTACTTCCCATTTCCAGGACTCAAGTCCGACTATATGAAAATAACTGGTTTCCCTGAATCCCTTCACTAAATATTACCCTGCTCACACTCCAACAGATCGTCAGGTCCCAAGTACCATTCGTCTCCATTCAATCCTATCTAACATGCTCAATCACACTTGCTGGAAGTCCAAGCCCCTCGCCCACAAAACCTCCTTTACCCCCTCTCTCCAACCCTTTCGAGGACAACCCCTACCCCGCCTTCCTTCCCCTATAGATTTATATGCTTTCCATGTCATTCTACTTTGATCCATTCTCTCTAAATGACCAAACCACCTCAACAACCCCTCTTCTGCCCTCTGACTAATACTTTTATTAACTCCACACCTTTTCCTAATTTCTACACTCCGAATTTTCTGCATATTTACACCACACATTGCCCTTAGACAGGACATCTCCACTGCCTCCAACTGTCTCCTCGCTGCTGCATTTACCACCCAAGCCTCACACCCATATAAGAGTGTTGGTACTACTATACTTTCATACATTCCCTTCTTTGCCTCCATAGATAACGTTTTTTGACTCCACATATACCTCAACGCACCACTCACCTTTTTTCCCTCATCAATTCTATGATTAACCTCATCCTTCATAAATCCATCCGCCGACACGTCAACTCCCAAGTATCTGAAAACATTCACTTCTTCCATACTCCTCCTCCCCAATTTGATATCCAATTTTTCTTTATCTAAATCATTTGATACCCTCATCACCTTACTCTTTTCTATGTTCACTTTCAACTTTCTACCTTTACACACATTCCCAAACTCATCCACTAATCTTTGCAATTTTTCTTTAGAATCTCCCATAAGCACAGTATCATCAGCAAGAAGTAACTGTGTCAATTCCCATTTTGAATTTGATTCCCCATAATTTAATCCCACCCCTCTCCCGAACACCCTAGCATTTACTTCCTTTACAACCCCATCTATAAATATACTAAACAACCTTGGTGACATTACACATTCCTGTCTAAGACCTACTTTTACCGGGAAGTAGTCTCCCTCTCTTCTACACACCCTAACCTGAGCCTCACTATCCTCATAAAAACTCTTTACAGCATTTAGTAACTTACCACCTATTCCATATACTTGCAACATCTGCCACATTGCTCCTCTATCCACTCTACCATATGCCATTTCTAAATCCATAAATGCAATAAAATCTTCCCTACCTTTATCTAAATACTGTTCACATATATGCTTCAATGTAAACACTTGATCTACACATCCCCTACCCACTCTGAAACCTCCTTGTTCATCCGCAATCCTACATTCTGTCTTACCTCTAATTCTTTCAATTATAACCCTACCGTACACTTTTCCTGGTATACTCAGTAAACTTATTCCTCTATAATTTTTACAATCTCTTTTGTCCCCTTTCCCTTTATATAAAGGGACTATGCATATTTTTTTTTTTTTCAACAAGTTGGCCATCTCCCACCGAGGCAGGGTGACCCAAAAAAGAAAGAAAATCCCCAAAAAGAAAATGCTTTCATCATCATTCAACACTTTCACCACACTCACACATAATCACTGTTTTTGCAAAGGTGCTCAGAATACAACAGTTTAGAAGCATATATGTATAAAGACACACAACATATCCCTCCAAACTGCCAATATACATATACAGTGGTCCCCCGCTTTTCGTAGTTCCCGGCAATCGTAAAATTCGCCAATCATAGGGGTATTTTCGTATAAACATGGACTCACTTTTCATAGGTTGACTCGTGAGTCGTAGTTTGTCCGGGACGCGTACGCACGGCGTGGGCCAGTCTGGCATTATTTACCAGTGAGAGAAGGTCCCCTCGCGTGCTCCAGCGAAATATTTCATAATATTCCATTTATTTTAGTGCTTGCAAGTACTAAATAAGCTACCATGGCTCCAAAGGAAGGTCCTAGTGCCAAGCCTGTGGTAAAGAAGGTGAGAAATACGATTGAATTTAAGAAAACCATCACTGAACAATAGGAAAGTGGTACAAGTGTGGCCGAACTGTCCAGGATGTATAAGAAACCCTACACAACCTTATGTTCCATAGTGGCCAAGAAAAATGAAATAAAGGATGCTGTTGTTGCAAAGGAAGTAACTATGCTGACAAAAATGAGATCACCAGTACTGGAAGAGGTTGAGAAGTTATTATTGGTGTGGATAAATGAGAAACAATTAGCAAGAGATACTCTTATGACTTCGTTTATTTGTGAAAAGGCTAGGCAGTTGCATGAAGATTTGGTAAAGAAATTGCCTGCAAATAGTGGTTAAGTGAGTGGATTTAAGGCCAGCAAAGGCTGGTTTGAGAGATTTAAGAACCGTACTGGCATACACAGTGTGGTAAGGCATGGTGAGGCTGCCAGTTCAGACCACAAGGCGGCTGAAAAATATGTGCATGAATTCCAGGAGTACATAGAGGCTGAAGGACTGAAACTTGAACAAGTGTTCAATTGTGATGAAACAGGCCTCTTTTGGAAGAAAATGCCAAAGAGGACCTTCATTACACAAGAAGAAAAGGCAATGCCAGGACATAAGCCTATGAAAGACAGGCCGACGCTAATGTTCCGCGCTAATGCTAGTGGGGATTTCAAAGTGAAGCCATTACTAGTGTACCATTCTGAAAATCCCAGAGTGTTCAGGAAAAACAATGTTATGAAGAGTAAATTGTGTGTTTCGGAAATCTAATAGTAACGCATGGGTCACGAGGGAAATTTTCGTCGAGTGGTTCAATGAAGTGTTTGGCCCTCGTGTGAAGGAGTATCTCCTGGAAAAGAAATTGGATCTCAAGTGCGTGCTAGTAATGGACAATGCACCTGCTCATCCTCCAAACTTGGATGACCTAATTTTCAAGGAGTTTGGGTTCATCACAGTAAAGTTCTTGCCCCCGAATAAAACTCCTCTCCTCCAACCCATGGACCAGCAGGTTATTGCAAACTTTAAAAAACTCTACACAAAAGCAATGTTTCACAGGTGCTTGACTGTGACCACAGACACTCACTTGACCCTAAGGGAATTTTGGAGAGAACACTTCAGCATCCTCCACTGCATAACCCTTATAGGTATGGCTTGGGAGGGAGTGACTACCAGGACTTTTAAACTCTGCCTGGAGAAAATTGTGGCCAGATTGTGTCGACAAGAGGGATTTTGAAGGATTTGGGACTGACCCTAATGAGCCTATGTCTGTTGTAAAATCAATTGTGGCACTGGGGAGTTCCATGGGGTTGGATGTGAGTTTGGAGGATGTGGAAGAATTGGTGGAAGACCACAATGAAGAGCTCACCACTGAGGAGCTGCAAGAGCTTCAGCAGGAAGAGCAACACATCGCAGCTCAGAATCTTGCTGCAGAGGAGGAGGAAGAGAGATGGAAGAAGGTGCCTTCTTCAGAAATTAAAGAGATTTTTACTATGTGGGGTAAGATGGAAAGCTTTATGGAGAAACATCACCCTAACAAGGTTGTTGCAAGCCAGGTTGGCAACATGTACAGTGACAAAGTCTTGGGCCATTTTAGGGAAGGACCATTTCACTCTCGTCTACAAGACATTTTAGGGAAGTGTTAAAGAGACGCCAGAAACAGAGCTCTCTCCACAGTTATTTTGTGAGACAGGACTCCAGTGACTCTCAAGGTGGTCCTAGTGGCATTAAGAAACAGAGAAGAGAAGCAACCCCAGAAAAGCAAATGGTACCTGAGGTGTTGATGGAAGGGGATTCCCCTTCCAAACTATAAACAATCCACTCTCTCTCCTCCTCCAGTCTCCCATACACTAAGAAGAATCTCCAATAAAGGTAGTGTTATGCTGTTAATGTTTCATTCATCATTTCCCATTGTACTGTTTATGTACTACATGTATATTTCATGTTAAAATTTTTTTTGTTTTAATACTTCTGGGTGTCAGGAACGAATTAATTATATTTACATTATTTCTTATGGGGAAAATTGATTCGTAAATCGTAAATTTCGTTTATAGTAACGGCTCCAAGAACGGATTAATTACGGACAACGAGGGACCACTGTATATACATCTATATATAAAAAAGAGAAGAAAAACTTTATAAAACTGGGATGCTTGAATGTGCGTGGATGTAGTGCGGATGACAAGAAACAGATGATTGCTGATGTTATGAATGAAAAGAAGTTGGATGTCCTGGCCCTAAGAGAAACAAAGCTGAAGGGGGTAGGGGAGTTTCGGGGGGGAGAAATAAATGGGATTGAATCTGGAGTATCTGAGAGAGTTAGAGCAAAGGAAGGGGTAGCAGTAATATTGAAGGATCAGTTATGGAAGGAGAAAAGAGAATATGAATGTGTAAATTCAAGAATTATGTGGATTAAAGTAAAGGTTGGATGCGAAAAGTGATTCATAATAAGCGTGTATGCACCTGGAGAAGAGAGGAATGTAGAGGAGAGAGATTGATTTTGGGAGATGTTAAGTGAATGTAAAGGAGCCTTTGAACCAAGTGAGAGAGTAATTGTGGTATGGGACCTGAATGCTAAAGTATGAGAAACTTTTAGAGAGGGTGTGGTAGGTAAGTTTGGGGTGGCAGGTGTAAATGATAATGGGAGCCCTTTGATTGAACTTTGTATAGAAACGGGTTCAGTTATAGGTAATACATATTTTAAGAAAAAGAGGATAAATAAGTATACAAGATATGATGTTGGGCGAAATGACAGTAGTTTGTTGGATTATGTATTGGTAGATAAAAGACTGTTGAGTAGACTTCAGGATGTACATGTTTATAGAGGGGCCACAGATATATCAGATCACTTTCTAGTTGTAGCTACACTGAGAGTAAAAGGTAGATGGGATACAAGGAGAATAGAAGCATCAGGGAAGAGAGAGGTGAAGGTTTATAAACTAAAAGAGGAGGTAGTTAGGGTAAGATATAAACAGCTATTGGAGGATAGATGGGCTAATGAGAGCATAGGCAATGGGGTCGAAGAGGTATGGGGTAGGTTTAAAAATGTAGTGTTAGAGTGTTCAACAGAAGTTTGTGGTTACAGGAAAGTGGGTGCGGGAGGGAAGAGGAGCAATTGGTGGAATGATGATGTAAAGAGAGTAGTAAGGGAGAAAAAGTTACAATGAAATTTTTTTTAAACAAAGTAGAAGTGATGCAAGGGGGGAAGATTTATAGGGAGAAAAAGAGAGGGGTTTAAAGAGATTGGGGGAAGAAAATTTTAAAAAAAACAAATGAGAGAAGGGGTGAGTGTTACAAAAAATTTTTGGTTGAAAATAAAAAAAAATTTTTTTGGATGAGATTAACAATTTAAAGGAAGCCTAGAAAAACAAAGGGATTTGAAAAATTTAAAAAAAAAGGAGAGGAAGTTATTAAATGGAGGTTGAGGTTTTGGGGACGGGGGGGAATATTTTGAGGAATTTTTAAAAAAGTTGATGAAGATGGGGAAAGCTGAGATTTCGTGTATAAGCAAGGAGGAAAAAACCATCTTTAGGAATGGGGAAGAGAATTTGTGAGTTTTGGGGGGAATTCTGGGGCGGAGGAAAAGGGAAAAGGGGGAAAGGCAGCCGGGATTGATGGGATAAAGATAGAAATTTTTTAAAAGCAGGGGGGGAAAAATATTTTTTGGAGGGGTTTGGGTGAAATTTTATTTAATAAATTTTATGGAAGGGGGAAAGGGGACCTAAGTTTGGGCAGAAAAGAAAGAAAAATTTCCCCTTTTAAAAAGGGAAAAGGGGGAAACCAAAGAGGGGTAAAAAATTTATAGGGGGAAAGTCTGTTGAGTATACCTGGAAAAGTTTTAAGGAAAGGGTGGTGTGGACCAGGTTTTTAAACAGTGAAACATATAAGTGAACAGAAATTTAGAAAAGGGGTTAAAAAGAAGGTTTTTGTGGCATTTAGGGTTTTGGGAAAAGACGAAATGACGGGGTTTGGATGGGGGGGGCAATGGGGCAGATGTTGCGGGAGGGGGTTACTGAAAGCAGTAAAGATTTTTTACGAGGTTTAGTGGGGCCCTCAAGTTAGAGTATGTGGGAAAAGGGGAAAAATTTTTTCCCCAAAGTAAAAATGGGGGCCTTTAGAAAAGGGAAATGTGTGATGTCCCCGGGTGGTTTTTTAAATATATTTATAGAGGGTTTTTTAAAAAAGAAAAAATGCGGGGGTCTGCAAGGGGAGTGGAGTAAAAGATAAAGAATCACCCCCATAAAGTGGGGGGTTGTAAACGGGTTGCTTTTTGCTGATGCCACTGGCTTTTGGGGAGATTCTGAAGAGAAGTTGCAGGGGATTGGTGGAAAATTTGGTAGGGTGTGCAAAAAAAAAAATTTAAAATTTAAAATACGGGAAAAGAGAAAAGGGTTAATGAGGAAAAAAAAAGGGATTAGGTGATGAAAGTTTGAATCAGATTGGGGGGAAGATTAGGGAGGGGGTTAAAATGTTTTCAGAAAATTGGGATGGCCCGGTCAGGGGAGGGGCCCTTATAAAAGGGAATGGGGTGAATCATAAAAATTGATGGGGGGAAAAAGGGTGAGTGGTGCCCCTAGGAGTCTGGGGAGGCAAAAAAATTTGTCCTTGGGGGCAAAGGGGGGAATTTTATAGAGTATAGTTTTACCAACGCTTTTAAAGGGGTTTTTTAAGAAAGGGTGAAAAAATGTTGAGCAAGGAAAGGCTGGGGGCAGGGAGATGTCTTTGTCGGGGGCAATGGGGTGGTGTGAAAAAAAAGCAAAAATTCGTATTTTGGGAAGTTAGGAGGAGGTGCGGGATTACCAAAACTGTTGTCCAGGGGGGCTGAGGAAGGTTTAGGGGGTTGGGGACATGTAAGAGAAGGGAGCAAAACCCAGAGTGACTTCAAAGGGGTATCGTCTGTAGGGGA